TTTCACGCAATTTCTCTACCTCCTGCATGCCAATGCTTCAGATTTATCCTAATCTTGACAGGAAAGTTTTTAATTTAAATAGACGAACAAAGTCACTGAGACGTATACTAATAAAAGTTTACTTTAATATTTTTGTATTAACTTAATTTTTTTTCTCTTTTATTTGTACTACTCAATTTATTACATAATTGGTATTTTGTTAATTAATCTAACATTTGGCAAAGTCTTAAATGAGACTGAAAAACCATATCATTCGTATACATATTTGATAATATTAGAACATTATACATATTCGATATATATAAACTTTTTATATAAACTGATTCACGCAAACTAATTTGTTTTAATTATATTTGAATGGATTTAAATTAAGGATAAATTAAATGAATTATAGTAGATAATATGTCAATCATATAAGATTGTCCTATCTATTTGCATGGAACAATTCGAATTAAATGAATTATAGTAGATGATATGTCAATTATGTCACCTTACGCATTAATTTTTTTTTTTTTAAAAAAATCATTGTTTTTGTTGGTAATTAGATGAAAACAAAATAATCAAATGACTTGGTACATCCATTTCACCAAAAAGTTTCTTAAACTATGAATGATGTGATATATATGCCACTGAAAAAAATTAATAGAATATAATATATACCATTTGTAGATGTTAAAATCTACGATTGATTCGGAAGGGACAGATGACGGATCTTGTGAAGAATGAGCCATTGACAATCGTGTGGACTTGCAGGGACAAAAAGAACGAATGTGAAGGCTAGGGGGACACCCGTGTGGTGTCTGTTGTAGGCACTCCGATGCTCAAGTCAACATGATTGAAGGTATTTTAGTGAGGGCTAAAAGCGGGAAAGTGTTTACCGTAATAGTGTGGCTAGGGCAAGACTATGATAAAGTGGCTGGAGCACAACTTTACGACGGCTAAGAGAGGTAAAGTTAGTCAGAACTAAGCTTTACAGTGGGAGAGGCGACATTTCTTGGGAGCAAGAACTTTGAGAACTAAAGCTTTAGGCTATTTGTGAATGAATAATGAGAGGCTTGACCTCTGTTTATATAGTGAGCTTAGGAGGCTTGTGTCCTAGTAGAACTCTGAGTTCGTGAAGTCGGTACAGACTCACCACTTCCCATTCTTCTATCAGACTACCACAACATTTGCGAGCTGATCGGGGTAATGTACTTCTTGGGCCGACCCATTGTTTAACAACTTCTCTACCTCCTCATTGATCTTTTGGTTCCGCTCGAGAGCAAACTTTCTTCTCTTTTGGTTCCGCTCGAGAGAAAACTTTCTTCTCTTTTGGTTCTGCTTGAGAGAAAACTTTCTTCTCTTTTGTTTCACAGGAGGGTAGTCTAGTCGACATTCAACTAATGAACAATTGCATTGGGGATGATCCCCATCATATCCGAGTGGGACCATACAAAGCAGTCTTGGTTTTGCTTAAGGAAGTCTTAGCTTCACATGAATATCTGGTCTTAGTTGGGCTCCTACTTGGGTCTTTCGGTGTGGATGAATCTGGACCTCATCCAACTCTTCCATGGCCGACTGATCTGACTCAGCTCCTCTAGCTGAACGAGTCTATAGTTGCTACAAAGTCGAAGGCTTTGTTTTAAAGGTGTTCTGGTAGCAATCTCTCGAGACTCTCTGATTACCCCTTATTTCTTTTACTCCTCACTTGGTGGGGAACCGAATGGTTTGATGGAATGTGGAGAGTACAGCTCGTATGCTCTAGATCTATGGGTGGTGAAGGATAACATTCTAAGGCGATGGGTTGTCAATCACCATGAAGGTGGTTTAGAGGTTGACTTCACCCGCATAGATTAGAAGGGTGAATTCCCCGATGATGTACTTTTACTCCGAACTGAACCCAATGAGGATGGTGGACCAACAATTGATGTTTGTTTCATCAATACCCATAACCTTAAGTGCTTCAAGGGATAAGATGTTGGCTGAGGATTTGTTATCCACGAGGATCCTCTTGAAGAGAATGTTGGCAATTTGGAGGGAGATGACAAGAGCGTCATGGTGGGGATTGACAAGGGTCATGGTTTCATTGTCTACAAACTGTATGGTTTGGTCAATTGGTACTTGTGATGGTGGTTAGGATGAGCAGGCTTTTGGGTTAACTGTTGATCGGGCATTTCTCTTAGCAGAGGAGTAGCTTACCTCACTTACTTCCGAGCCGCCAGAGATAACGTTGCACATTCCATTTGGTATGGTATCCTTTACTGGTGGTGTGACTCAGCAATCTTTGTTGGTGAGGGTGTTTTTTCCCTTCTTAGTCAAGAGGTCTCGTAGATGGCCTCTTTTTAATAACTATGTGCCTCTAGTCAGAGAGCAATGCAATCGGCGGTATTATGGTTGTGGTTGCTATAGAACTCACACCACTTGGTAGTGTCCCATTTGGCCCCAGTATATTTTAACTTAGCTAGCCATCTGACGGTGTTCCCCATTCCCTTCATGATGGCTACTACCCCAACCAACTCAATACTTTGATTATAGTCTAGGATTCTAGTGTGGTTGATACGGATGGGTGCTCTCTCGATGAGCCAAGTTGGCTGGTGGTCAAGTGGATGTCTGGTGTCATGATTAGGAACTCATCTTGCTGGGGGGTTATGGCTCGGTAAGGCAAATGTCATAGCATCGGTCGACTCGCTTAGAGTGACGAACATTATAGGATGAGTACATGGCTCAGTTCACTTCATCCTCTTCCTACCTTATCTCAACCAAGGCCCGAGCCAAAATATTTTTCATGGTGGTGCAATTGAACTTGGTGAGTTCCTCCTAGAGCTCACTATCAGGAATGAGTCTTTTTTTAAAGGCATCGATCGCCGTCTCTTGGTTACAGTAAGGAATGAAGATCTTCTCCTTGTTAAAGCGGCCAACATGTTCTTGAAGTGACTCTTCACGGTGCTGATACACTTTGTAGATGTCATAATTTCTCAAGTCTCTTACTGTTGGCAAACTGCTCGATGAAGGTGTCCGTGAGATGAGCGAATAAGGCTATTGAGTTGTTTGGAAGGTTGGTGTACCATTGGAGGGCTGGTCCAATAAGACTCGAGCGAAAGCTCTTACACATACATGCCTCTTTTAATTCGCGGGGAATAGCGATGACGAACATTCTCTGCTTGTAGGAGGCTATGTGATCTTCCAGGTCAGTGGTTCTACTGTAGAGTTTTATGTTTGGGAAGGTGAACTTTCTTGGCATCTCTAAGAGGGCTATGGAGTCAACAAATGGTGAGTTAGCGAAACTTTGGTATAGGCTTTTCTTAAGAGGTGTGGGCATTCCAAGGATGCGCTGGATCGTGGCCTCTATCTCGGAAAACTGTTTAGCTAAGGCTTGCTCAATGGGGGGTTGCCATGGGGTGAAAAGGCTTGTGTTTTGTAAAGTAGGAATCCCATTCGGGTTGGTGTGCATGGCCAAGCCTAGCAGCGCCAACTGGTACGATGGACTGGCCAATGAGTGTAACATGGGATGTGTTTATGGCAAGGTGAAGGGCATGTTTAGCTGGTACTGTTGGAGTAGGGTCGTTTGGATGAGTGATTCGGTGGCTAAGAGAGGTTGATAAGTTGAGTCGACTCAACTTGTGTTGGCTCGGCTAGGGATGTAATAGTAGTTGTTGTGGCCAAATGGAGATATGATTGGCTTGTTAGGGTTCCATGATCCGAGGTTGTGAATAATTGTCTTGGATGGATGAAGGCGTGAGACCCCAAGGCGTGTTGTTGACCCAAGTGAAGACCATGTTAGTCATTACATTACGTTAGCTTCTTCATCATCTATGTTGCATTTGAAACTATCTGGCACCCACCAAGCATACAAGTTACAATTTCCACTTTCACAACAAAAAATTAGTTCGTGTGGATTCTTGGTCGCAGTGGCGGATTTACTTAATGACGAGTGGGGACCACGGCCCCCACTCAAATTTTAAAAAACTTCGATTGTATAAATATTTATATTTAGTTGCATTTTACCCCCTATAAGACTTTGACATTTTGCCCCCACAAATTTTTTTGTTTATTTTTTGCCCCTATCGAGTGAAATTCTTGGATCCGCCACTGCTTGGTCGTTCTAGAGATCTTTATAGCAACTATATTTTCGCTCGACACCATCAATTCTTAAACTTAACAACACCACCATTGATTTTCCTCCTTGCACAAACTGACACAGAATTTGAAATTTTTTTGGGGGGTTGCTTATGTTGCTTGATTCGACCATTGCTTTGAAGCTTGAGTTGATGGTGTGGATTCTTTGTGTGTCAAATGTCTGCCTGATGGTTTGTTTTGGGTTGAAGAATTGGCAGAATTTTTTTTTTATTGTTTGAAGAATGAAATGAGTTCTTTGATTGTATGCAGAAGCTGCATTCAAAAAATGCGGAGGTGCTGGCGAAGATGATGGCAAAGGCGTGGCGCTGGCAAATATGGGGAGGTGGCGGTGGTAATAAAAACAAGATGCATTGTCAGTGCAACAACAAAAAAACATTCATTTCAATTTGACACTTAATTTTATGCTTTATTTCCTTTTTGTCTTTCATTGTATTATTTAATTTCATATAAATGTAACACGTGTTAACTTATTATTGGTTTATGGTACCACCACAGCATTTTGAGGTGGTATACCGAAGGTAGGATAGCTTCTCGTCAACAAGAGGAGAGATACAGGAGTCAACTCACTAGAACCAATAAGACTTATCCATATTCATAAAGGGAAATAATACAGTCATCGAAAGCAGTGCATCGAGTGACATGGCACAATCCTGATTATCGATTAATATTAATCGATGGTCAGGATTGCGTCATATCATTCGATGCATGAATTCGATGCACTATTTTCGATGACTGTAGCATTACTCATTCATAAAAGTAAGCCTAATCAATTGATTTGAATCATGAAAAACGCATATATTACATTTTAACAAGACTGTAAAACTAGAATGTAAAACATTACTTTTGCAACTGAAAGATAAATCCATGTCTAATACAATTTATTACTAAGACCAGAAAACTTGCTTAATGGAACAAATGGTTTGTATGAATGTAAGTAGTAGCAGTATAATTCCAGCAATAGTTCCAGTGCCTTTCCATGGATTGCTGAAATAAACACGCTTCAAGGTTGCCCTGGAATGGTTCCAACCATTTTTATAATGTGCATTTAGATCATTGACAATACCACTGTAACAGGATGCACTTAAATCAATGTTTAGGCCAAGTCTATTAAACATCTGCGCGATTGTAGCATTATCGCCCATACCGTTTAAAATAATTCCCTTTTCAATAAGCAAATCTATATCCTTCTCTGTCTTGATAAGATCAACCATGAAACTGATATAGTTACAGATGTGAGTGTCTGATGGATAATGGCATTGTTCTAGTGCCATCAGATTTCGTATCACAGTTTCTGTGGGATCAACAACTTCAATTTGTGGAATTTTTAATTCAACTCCACTGAGGAATGGAATTGGGATTTTAGAATTTCTCTTTTCTCGTAGTATGTTAAGTAAACAACCTCCCTCAATACCCTTAAACTTCACTCCTGACTCATTCAGTTTGGCTGCACAACGTAAATTTGAGAAAGGTTGACCAGATTCTTCAGGGAGGTTTTGTACTAAATCATGTCTTCTCAAATCAGTGAAATGCTGAACTGTTGCTTGACCAGAAAGTTCTCTATTAGAAAAGTTATCATAGATGAACTTACGAGAAAGATCAATGAAGACACCTGGATAGTTTTCTCTTTCAATTTTATCTAAACTGTATACTTTTTCTAGGATGAAGTATGGAAGTTGGTTTTCAAGCAATTGCAAGTCTTGTTTTAAACGTGAATATAAGCGTGATTTTTCCAGCAAAAGATCATATTTGCCTTCCCAGTTCTTCAAGAAGAGCTCGATGATGAAGATTGCATCATATAAAATCATTGTTATATACTCAAAACTTCGAAGTTGGGAAGCTTCAGCATAACAATTACGAATTTTTTTCTCGTTATCTTTTATGAATGTTATAAGATCCTCCCATTTCTTTGCTCGGATTCGCTCACCAAAATCTTTTTTATCTCACTTTTTGTTTTTCCATTTCAACCAAGTCCTTGTTGCCATGGTGAAGAGGACCTATAGCAATTAATTGAGGAGTATAGGCTCCTTCATTTATTTTGCGAAGATCTGTAGGAACCCTATAAATACAACACTCAGATGCAGGCTCTAACTTTTCGTTTATATCAATTTTCAACTCTTGGCGTTTATGCTCTTCAATGGAAGCATTTGAGAAGCTATACATTTCAATCTTCAAGTTCCTTTATCCTATTAAAACAAACAATTAACAGAACTTGTTAACTTCTGCATAAATAGTAGATTTCAGAGGTAATTGAAGAGCTTTAGTCTTCGAAGTCTCAAACTTCATAAGCTATACCTATCAATCTTCAAGTTCCTTTATGTAACTCCCAGGTGCACCTGATGGGCTTTAAACCTAAGTTGAACTTGATATGATGTTTTAGCGTAGACCAAGGTTGTGGGCTATCTGGTGGGTGGACCCGATAAAGAGTGTTTTTCTTCAAAAGAAAAACAAAATTTATATTTTAATAAAAATTCCAATATAATAGGCTAGGTCCCATTTTCTCTTGCTTATATACAACAGACCTATTAAACATTGTATAATATGAGTGGACATAAGTACACGCTACACACAGTTAGTCTTTCTTGAAGACTAAGTGGGATGTGAGATAATGAAAATCTTCAAATGAGAATCTCGAAGGAGTAGACAAACTACTATTAATACTATGTTTGGTTTTCTCTATTCCTTTTCTATTTATTTTATAATTTCTCAAAGTTCTTTAATTGCATTAAAACTGATTTAATAATTTAGGAGGCCCAAAAAAGAAGGGGGTAATTTAACGTAAAATATGGAACTAGCCTTAAATACCCAATTCACCCCCTTCTTATGTAGACCATCGATCCTTTTAATCCTTCTAATGTCTGTCAGTTTAGCCACACATGAAGAGAAGCTAGCTTATGAGCATTAAGAGTTTGAAGACGAGACTCATCAACATAATGTACCAATGAAGATCAAAGAGCATCGATCTTTGGTAGTGCAAATGTACACGCCCAATGAGAGGTTAAATCCTAAATGCTAGATGAACCGTCAAGCAATGAGTTGGAGACCTTATCATTGATAGTGAAGTATTATTAACTAGTGGTAGAACTAGAAATCTAAGTTAGAAGGGGCACTTAGGAAGAAATTTGAGTTAGAGGAGGGCGCGTGCAGGGGCAGAGTGAGGGTTTGTGTCCGGGGGTGGTAGACTATGAATTGATTAAAAGAGTTCTGTTGATGCAAGAATTACACCAACTAGAGTGATCTGACTGACCTTGATAGAATCGGAACCGATGTGTACATGATTAAAGATAACCAGTAATGTAATATAAATGTCAATGTAAAGCAAGTAAAGAACACGAAAGGTTCTTAAAGTGGTTTGGCAAGTTTAGATCTTGAGCCTACGTCTACTGTTTTTCTCATTGCTTAGAGAGCTTACAAGAAATAACAACAATACCTAGAATAATTTGCTAACCCCTCTTCCATCGTTGGAAGGGGTTTATACACTAGTTTGTTGCAAAAGAAAGAGTGAAATTAAAGGAATTAGTATCAAGATTAAAGTGCAACTCCGATATTCCCGCAATTGAGCACTAAGATCATTATCATTGTTGTTGATTTGATCTCTTCCGAAATATCCGAGATCTAAGTTTATCTTTGATTTGCTCAAACAACTGTCAAGATTTGTTGCGACTAGCTTATGTTGAGTCGAGCTATATCTCGACGAGCTTATGCTGAGTCGGACAAGTATTGAGTTGAACTGATTTTGGGTCGAACTATAACCTCGAGCATTCTCTTCACCTGATCTAAGTCCTCATCATAAGGAGTATTTTGGCAGCAAGCTCAGTTTACCCTTACCTTGAGCAGGTGAGTTCGGAGATCAATTGCTTGTGTGCCTGCTCTATCGTGCGTGAGGTGGAGTCATGATGGTTGGGTTGATAGATGTTATCATGCTCATCTGTACGTTGCTCGCGACGTTGGTTAAAACTGAAACGTCGGTCATTGTCAGATTGGCGCGCGCGGCTCAACTCGCGAGCTTGTGAGGTTTGACCCCACCTTTGGAGTGGGTTAAAACTAACACGTTGGCATTGATTATTTCGCCGATTAGGGCGAGCATCCCTTTGTCAACCATGGGCTTCATTTTCCCCCATAGGTTGTTTGCCTGGTTGCCTCCCGAGGTTAACTTGCCCACGGGATTCACACTTGTGAGCGAAATGTGCCCTGTGGTGTTGGGGGTGACGATCGCTCCTTGGTGTCGATGAGCTAGATTGGTCGCCAGTCGAGCCATTCCAGCCCGTTTGAGTAACCTTCGTGAAGCATGGCTAATCGAGATCTTAGTGGGCCGGTTGCTAATTCCTTAATTTAGCCACTTTCTGTTACACCGCCTATGCAACCATCATCCTTATCATCTCCATTAGCTGGTCATTCTCGGGATTTGAAGTCCCTACCCCCTACTGATTTGCAACCTGCTGCACTGGCGGCATTAGTGGTCAACCTAGAGGAGCAGTCTGATGCACCTCTTGTTGGCGGTTTCCATGTTGTTGTGGTTTTCGATGGTGGTTTTTTATTTGGTATAGGCCATTTCAAATTTTAAGTGATCGGGTCACTAAAATTGTTTGCTGGAAATTTTGAAAGTAGGCGAAGGCCCTCCTTCTAGTGCCAAAATGTTGATGCTAGAATTACACCAACTAAAGTGATCCGATTGACCTTGATGTGTGCGTGATTAAAGATAACCAGTAGTGTAATATAAATATCAATGCAAAGCAAGTAAAGGTTTTTAAAGTGGTTCGGCAAGTTTAGATCTTGAGCCTACGTCCACTGTTTTTCTTATTGGTTAAAGAGCTTATGAGAAATAACAATAATGCCTAGAATAATTTGTTAACCCCTCTTCCATCATTGGAAGGGGTTTATATATCAGTTTTTTACAAAGGAAAGAACGAAATTAAAGGAATTACAATCAAGATTAAAGTGCAACTCCGATATTCTCACGATTGAGTGCTAAAATCACGCTATCATTGTTGTTGATCTGATCTCTTCCAAAATATTTGAGATTTGAGCTTATCTATGATCTGCTCGAACAACTGTTAGGATTGGTCGCAACTAGCTTATGTTGGGTCGAGTTGTATCTCGACGAGCTTATACCGGGTCGGATAAGTGCTAAGCTAAACTGATTATGGGTTGAACTATAACCTCACGGAACTCTGACTTCTCTAAGCTTAATGGAAAAATCACACACAACAAGTTCAAAAAAAAATTAAACTTGAAAGTGTTCTTCTTATATAAAAGTGTTCTTCTTATATATTAAAAAAAAAAAAAATTGATATGAAAATAGCTTATTTTTGGTTAATTCAATCTAATTAATGCTTCAATTTTACATGTTGAAAAGAAAATGAGAATAAAATTTGATTAAATAATAGTTTTAAATTTATATTAAATTATAAATAAAAAATATTCGATACTTTGGAACTTCCAAACCTAATATCATTGATTTCAAGAGAAATTTTTTCAAAATAAAATAAATCATTTTTGAAGATCGGAGAGAATGAGTTATTAATAGAGAAAGAAAAAGGAGATTCAAAAATGAAGTTTTACATTTTGTAGACGGTAAAATCTACAATTGATTTAGAAGGGACGAATCTTGTGAGAAGCGAGCCACTGATAATCGGATGGACATGCTCAAAGAGAAAGAATAAACGAGAAGGCTCGAGGCACCCTAGTGTGGTGTCTGCCGTAGGCACTCTGACCGACGTTGAAGTCAACATGGTTGAAGGCAAGTGTAGTGAGGGCTGAGAGCAAGAAAGGATTTACCGGAATGTGGCTAGGGTAGAATTAACAAAAAATGGCCACAGCACAGCTTTGTGGAAGCGGAGGATGGTAAAGTTAGTCGGAACTAAGCTTTACGGCAAGGAAAGACGACGATTCTTGAGAGCAAGAATTTAGGAGCTAAAGCTTTAGGCTATCTATGCATGCATAATGACAGACTTGACCTTTGCTTATATAGGAGCTCAAGGTAGCTTAAGTCCTAGTAGAACTCTGAGTCCTACTTGGTATGGGAGTTCGAATAAGGAAGGAACTCTTGTTCCTTACCTTTATCCGTTCAATGGTACTAATTCATGTAAGATACTAGAACTTGAATGAATTAGCAAGGTGATGGATTCTAATTCCTATTTTGGGTAAAAGTGGGCTAATAGGCTGGAGTCCGATTTAACTTAATCTTATAGAAAGGCCCAACTCATGGAATGACCCAAAGAGTATGTTGGCCCAGTTCATAAGGTGGCCTTGCTCGTAAAGAGGCCCAACTCATAAAGTAGCCCATCTTGTGGTGTGGTCCAACTCATAGAATGATCTAGCCCATAGAATGGTCCTTCTCACAAATTGGGTCATCCCACAAGATGGTCAATCCACAAGATGGATTTAAGCATAGGCCCAACCGGAATTGGGCTAAGGCACTGGGCCATAATATGTTTATTTCGTTATTGTATGGCCCAATACGATTTTTGGCCCATACGCATTTTATAAAAGAATTTAAGAAATCCATTAATTATAAATTTGAAGTCTCTCTGAAGGGAACTAGTCCCTATTTCAATTGGGACCATTGCATGGCAGCCATATGCTAGCGAGAATGGTGTTTCTGAAGTAGAAGTTCTTGAAGTTTTTCTATATGCCCATAGAACCTCCGGGAGAGCGTCGCCCCAATTTCCTTTTGCTATGCCAAGCTTGGTCTTGAAAGTGTGCTTAATAGTTTTATTGACAACTTCAACTTGTCTGTTAGCTTGTAGTCTTGCTACTAAGGTGAATTTCTTATGAATCCCTAGTTCTTCGCAAAAGTGCTTGAACT